CCATAAACCTTGTCGGGATGAGAATTGAGAAACTCGCAGCTCACATTAAATTCAGTTCACGTCTTGCCGCGTGGTTGACGCGCGCAACACGGCAACCGCTCAGGATCCGTCCGCTGCCCTTGCAAAGGACCTGCGAGGACAAGCTCTTGTCTCTGGGTTCTCTGAATCAACTCAATGAGTCCCCGTCTTTATTGTTTATTGACCATGAACAAGTGGAGCCTTTGAGCTGACCCAATTGGCGCAAAGGAATGTAGAATCTCTTTCAGTAAGTCATTGGGATTTCTTGCGACGATCATGAGCAAGCTCGTCTGTTGGGCCAACGTCATCCAATGGCTGCTGAATGCGCACATGCGGTCGGCTTTTGCCTATCCAAACAAATCAGGCGTGGTTTGACTTTGAATATGACGATGGGAGAAGTTATCCATCCCAATCAGGATTTCTTCGCTCGGCGTGGCTGTTGCAGTAGATACGAGACATGCATTCATCTGCAACAAGTATATCTGGGTTGTGAAAAATGGAGTGTTGGGACATCCGATTCCACAATCCCTCTTGAGAACAAACAACCAATAGGGGAGCAACTCCTTTCTGGACCCAAGGAAAGGATTGAGGAGTACCTAACTGAACAACTTAGATATAGCCTGTAAGTGAGTTCTTACCTCCTTCACCAAGCACCTGTCAACATGGCGTTGAGTTTGCTTCTTTGAATAGGGAACCCTCAACATGCGCTGTTCCTTCGCTTCCTTTCAAGCCGACCCGAAGCCAAAAAGGGTAATCCCCAGACACAAAGACTGCCCGCTTTTAACTCAGTGCACCAAACTTGAGCCAGGCCGAAGACAGCCGGGGACCGTGGTTCCTTTCTGGAAGTTGTTCCTTTTCGGGTTGCTTTATTTCGGGAAGCCAAGGAGGACAAATTGGCATTTCCAGTGCGATTCCAAAAGCAAAGGGGCAATCAACGTGCTGTTCCTTCGGGGGCAAAATGCTTTTCCGCTTCGGGGGTTCAATTTGGGTATCCCAATTTTGGGGTTTGAAGGGGGCGAAGCCTATGCTGCACTTGGCTGTCGCCTGAGGTCCTGCGGCCTTCGGCTCCAGGTGTCTTAAACCTCGGCGATTCGAACGAGGCGATCGCGGGCAAACGGGGGCAAACGGCTTGGCTTTCCCAATACCAAGGCAACAAATAGGGAACTTATCAAACATGAAACCCACCAGAGGGTCCCGTGTGAAAGGCCCTTGCCTTTCGCAACATGCCTTGCAGCATGCTGGGCACATGGATTTTGGTGGGATATGGTGGCTGAGAACCAAATATGGCAAGGTACCGGAGTGTCTCACCTCATCCACATCACCCCAAAATTTGAGCAAAGCGCAACCTTTGGCCGGCAGTTGACGCAACCTTTATGGATAAGACGAGTTTCTTTCGCTGGTCACAGGCAAGCCGCTAGGTATCCATTTGTCAATGGCGGTTTCTCCTGCTTACCAGTAATTTGCATACTAGTGACCTCAATTTGTCAACACCAACAACACAAAAAATAACATATCTGGGTAATAGTCCAAAAGTGGAGGTGAGAGAGCCAGCTTACTAGTTTCCAAATAGGGGTCTAAACACATGGAACAATCCCCTTTCGGCTGCCCTTGTTGGTGATTTAGCACCCTAGCACTGCTCGCTTCAGTCGAAACGAAGACCATTGGTTTTTGGGTCCACCCGCCTCCAGCTCAGGATTGTCCATTGACAGGATCGGCATGCCCTCCGCGGTCACCTCCTCATTTGCAGGCGGGAAGTTTCTCAACTTGTCCAACCAATTTCGGGTTGGATTTCCCAATATGAATATTTACAGCCCTGGAGATGTCCATAGGGGAATCTCCAGAAGCAAGGCAGGCCCGAGGCCCGCACTCACTTCCCGAGGGGAGTGTCCACAACAGTTCCCCAACTCTTTGCCACTAAAATGGTCCAAACCCCAAAAGCACCAAGTTGAGAAACATGGAAAGTTGGCACTGCAGCAAATGTCAATTGCGCACCGCATCTTGCAAGGCTGGCAACAATGCGGTTTGTCTGGCGCCGGGTGTCTTGTGCCTGTTGTTTCGTTGTGATCAGCAGCTTTGGCACCCTGCGACTGCTTGCATGTCGCTGGCAATGGCCGTGTAGTCAGACCCATTTAACAAACAAAGCAATCAGCTTCTGTTTCGTGGGTCACCAAGACTCATGCTTGGAATCGCCAGTTCCCTTTCTGCGCCACCGCCACTCCTCCACTCGCATGCCCTGAACGCTGTCCCCTCGCTGGAACTCGCTCTTCAGTTCCGCAGACACCTGGCTCTAATGCTTCCATTTTCAAGGGCCCCAAGGGGCTTGGCGGAGGGAGACGGGTTCCCTATTTCCAATTTAAGCATCACTCCAAGGGAAACTCACTTACAATGGCCCATGGTGATATTCAAAACAAAATGGGAAAATAGAGAACCCTGTAAGACCTCAAAAACAAACATCCTGCCCTATATAGGGTGGAACATGCTGTGCGTCCAGGGTTCCCTGTGCCACACCCCACATTGCCGTAGGAGAACACCGCAACCTGCCCACACATCAACATCGCCAAATAGCTTATACCACCTGCATCCAAGCAACCGGCGACAGCACGACCCCTTAAACCGACTGCATTACATTTGCAAGATCTAGCTCCAGCTTAGGGAGCTTCAAGTCACCCCCGCTGGGACTAATAACCCCCTTGATAAACAACCCTGATTGATGGCGAGGCGTCCCATGTAAAGTGCATTCTTCACTTTGGGGGAACCTCCCATGTTAATCCACTAGTATGAATCCGAGGTCGACAATAAGAAATCCCTCGATGATCCGACCAACATTTCCCAGCTGCTTGGCTTGTCTACAAAGTTGGCGGCTTGGTGACCGCGTGTGCCTCCAGCAATCCGCGCTGCGGCCCGCCAATGTCAACCTGCGGAGGAGCGGCAACACGACGCGAGACGATGCAAAGAGAGCAAGGTGCAACCCTACCAGGCCCTTCTCTAGCACTGGCTTCCACCCAAGACCCAAAAGGACATGTTCCAGGCTGCAAGGCACAGCAAAGGTCGGCCAAGCCTGGAAACGAGCCATCTCTAATTTACTTCAAAGGCGATTGAACCGCAGCCAGTTTGGGGGTCCGTTTCTCTTTAGACACAAGCAGTTCAAGCTCCAAGCGTCAAACCAGCCAAGGCGCCCAAACTCCTTTGGCGTTGATGGCAACCACAATGCCATCCACCAGCTCACCCACTTCCAAGTGCTGCTCCCGGACCTCAATTGGAGGGTGTCGGGGGAAAATAGGGGAAGCACCTCCTTGGTGGCCACATGAACCAATAGGTTAACAAGCAACACAGCCCATTTGTTTGGACCTATCTTTGAAAACTCCCAATTTCTCAGCACAGAAACAAGATGGGTGTTGAAGAAAAGGAAGCAAGGTCTTCCTCACTTGGGACTGATATTCCTTTTTAGCTCTGCCAACACGGAAAATACCCCAAGAAATCCAAAACACGCAAATGGCAAAGCCCATCAAGCATATGCTTTGGAATCGTGCTCATCGGGGCTGGGCCGTGTTTTGCTTGCCAACACCGTTGCGCAAATTCAGCTAGCCCCGCCCTTGGGGAAGAACGTACGGCCCCCATTGACATTCTTCCCCTTGTACCACCAAGTCATATGCGTGGGGATCGGATCAGCTCCACTTTGCAGAGCGGGCCTCCTCCTTCGGCTTTTCCTTCAGCTTTTCCTTCGGCTTTTCAGCATCCTGCAAAGGTGCATAGCCGTCAGTGGTCCAGAGAAACCACACTTTGAGATGTTCGCACTTGCCTTTTGGCCGACTGTTTTTCTGATTGCCATTTTCGCGGATTCTGTCAAACCTGGGCAACGCAGCACTTTCGCAAGGTCAAGTACAAATTTCGTGGCAGGCGCAGCACTTTCGCAACGTCAAGTCCAGATTTCGTGGCAGGCACATAGATAGATATATGGATAGATGGACAAACAGATAGGTCGATAGATAGAGCCAGAGAGAGAGAGAGAGGGACATACATAGAGGGAGAGATAGATAGATAGATAGATGGATGGATGGATAGACAGACAGACAGATTAGATTAGATTAGATTAGATTACATTAGATAAGATAAGATTGGATCGATTGATAGGTAAGTAGGAAGGAAGGTAGGTAGGTAGGTAGGTAGATAGACAAACATATAGACAGATAAATAGCTCAGTAGATTAATCAGTAGCTAAATAGACTGCAAGACAGATGGACAGACGGACGGACTGACAGACAGACAAACAGACAGATAATATAGATACAGTAGATAGGTAGAAAGAGAAAGATAAGATAAAGAGAAAGATGCAGAGAAAAATAAAGAGAAAGAGCAAGATAAAGAGACGCTGAAAGAAGAGAAATAAACAGTTACAGAAACATATAGACAGAGAAAGAGCAAGAGCAAAAGAAAGGGAGAAACAGAGAACGCGAAAGAGAACGAGAGAGAGAGAGAGAGACAGAGAAAGATAAACAGGCAAAGAAAAAGAAACAGGACGAGAAAGAGCAAGAACAAGATAAAAAGCAAGAGAAAGAGAAAGAGAACGAGAAGAGACAGAGACAGAGCAAGAGGAAGAGAAACAGAGAACACGAGAACGAGAAAGAGAGCTATAGTTCTTAGATTTTGAAGCTTTCGCCATTGACCCAAACCAGAATAGCAAAGCAACCGCCCTCCAGGGAATTGCACACTTGACAGGACCCCCGTAGCTTCCCTCTTTGCCTTTGGTGTCCCTAACATATGTCCCTCCAAAGTTTCTCTAATCAACCGGCGCCCTCCAAAAGGACATGCCCAAAGCTGACCCCTCGATGTCAACCAGGCCTTGGACGTGGGTGGCCTCGTGGACGCATGGACGCATTTCAACCACCGAAGGGTGATGTTCAAAACCAAAAGGTGATGTTCAAAACCACCGAAGGCTGAAGCTTGTGAGGGGGGACCCTAGCTTTTCCCGAACAGCCTGTCGGGGGTCAAACATCGGCTGGGGATCGAAAGAAAGCAAAAGAGCGTTATCCATCAATCGATGGGTTTGTCTTGATTGGTGTACAAATGATTCCATCACATGCCATCATCATGTGGGCCATGGTCATGGCTCCCTCAACAGGCTGTCCAGGCCTCCGAGCTAATCATATATGCAACTGTTGCGGGGTTGATGACCATCCGTACCAACCCTCAAGTAAGAAAATGTCTGACTATGGTACGGCGGCAGTACGGCGTGCCCTGTGGAAAACCTGGGCAAACGAAAGCAGTTGACACAACCACGCACTGTCTCTGCTAGCTGCGTACGTAAGGGTCCGACGCTGGGTGCGATGCAGGATCTACCTGTCAGGCAACACTGGACATTGGCCCCGGAAAAAAAGTCAACAAAACATATGTCGCCGGTTGTGTGTGCCCTTCGAGTATCAACATCCACGACCAGACTTGGCCCGCTATATATGCAAGACTTGACACACTCCTGCTTTGCAGTTTGAGGTTGCTTCGGTCTTTCCCAAAAGACGAGTGCAAAAGAAGCTTCTGCTACGCCCATGGGGAATACAGACCAAGCTTTTGGGCCATTTTGTCGAGCCTCAGGGATTCAAGGAAGGCGGCTTCAAGCTCAAGTCAGATTTTCATGCAGGGAGTATGATCATGTGTACTCCACAAGCCTCATTCTTCCCCTGCAGGCCAGTTAGTGACTGATCTCCTCATGCCCGAGTCAGGACCATATTGAGGACGACAGTGGAGTTGGTGTTCAGAGTCATGAATACAGGCCTTTGAACAAACAACCCATGGGTTGAGAATGAGAACACAACAAGGACACATGTTTGCCAGAATTGCAAATGACAACGTGCTAGCATCCATCCACTCTGACATCTGGCTGTATCAAATCCAGGACCGAAAGTCGCATTCGTGTGATAAGGCAGCTTCTGCCGGGTGGGAGCGATGCTGTCGGCATTTCGTTTGATGCCTTGGACCGTTGCGATCTTGGGAAAGAAACCAAGCAAGAGAAGGTCCTATACATTGTCTAGCCGGTTCTTCCCATCCCTCCCAAAGGCCTCTTCCCCAAGTCAAGAACTCCAAAGCCATGAAGAAAGACATTTCACGAGTCATTGGATGCAGTTCTTCAGGCAGGACTTCAAGTGCCCGGTCCCAGTCCAGATCTCCTGCCTTTGGATCACTGCTCTCCGGATCTGACGTCATCGCCCGCAAGGACACCATCTCCGGGTCCTTCGGAGCAAACGGGAAGTTGGGGATGTGTCTGTCTATGAGGGAACCCAAAGCAGGTTCCTTTGGATATTCCTTTTGGACCAAACAGGGTACACCCAAAACAGGAACTCGTCTTCTGATGCAAACACGCAAACTTCTATATGTTGAGCTTGTGTGCAGCCCAGTGGAACCCAGTTGTCAGCATAGCTCACCCAGGATTGAAGAAAACAACAAGGTGTTTGAAAAGGGCCCGACCCCAGAATAAAAGTCCTTCTGGGTGAAACACCCTTTGATCATTCGCCAGGTCGGTTGATTTGACATGGGTACGTTTCTCTTTTGCTTTTGCTGGGGGGGGGGGGACCCTTTCGTGGACATCATTTACATGGTGAGTTGTGTCCGTCAATCCCTTGTCAGGGGCTCCCTATTGAGATATGCAGCATGGGGCCCAATGTCATTTTAACTCTCTTATCGCTGAGCTCGCCGTGCATTGACACCCAACACACAGGAATATGGATACAAGGATCCCAAACGAGCAGTGCCAAGATCTTAGCAGGTATTCCTGAAACGCCTACTGGTTTGACCCCATGATGCAAGCACGAAAACGTCCTGTCTTGGAGTCACATTTAAAATCCCGAGGCAACATCATGTACCCCAAACCAACTACAATGAGGGATTGCAGTCGGATGGAAAGCTGCTCCTGTCTATGGTTAAAACATCATTCTACCAGCTTTTGATTTGGGCCGGCTTTCATTCAACCAGTTTAAGCCAACCAGCTTTTGCCCATCATCATTGCAATCTCTGGCAGAACGCCACCGGAAGGGGGGGGGGGTTCCAAACACATACCACCTGAATGCGCCCCGGTCAATTTCATTGCACCCAATCACTTTAGCGGATGTACCCAATGTCCCTCTCTGGTGCTACAGCAAACGGCGAAGGCTTTCTACCTCAGCCTTTGCCCGCCACCCGTTTAATGCTAGTCCATATTGAGTGAATCTCAACATGTAAAACCGAAGCAACCCTGGCCTCAATGGCCGCTTCCACGTCGTCGACGATGAGCCGCACCTTTCGACAAGCTCGGCACCGGGAGACCAACACACCACCATTTTGGGGTTCTCCTCCGTTTTTTGACGCACAGCTGTCTTAAGATAGGAGGATCCCAGAGTGGGGGGGTTCCCATTTCCCTGTAAACCAACCCTTAAAAAGGGTACCGACACAACCCCACTCGCCAGTGGTTTAAACCAGCCCCGCAAAACAGGAACTCAACCGACCCAGCACATATGTAGATCATGGTCAAGGCTCCATTATGAACCCCCACGTCTTGCCCAACGACTTGACCACTCTAGGGCTGGCGCTCGCTTGCGCTCGACATCCACAGTGGCAATGCACAAATCTCGCACCACCTGCCGAGGAATAATGTGTCAGCCGCGCCCGAAGCCAGTTGACAGCTGCTTCTATCAACATGCTCACAAAGATGTGTGTGGGCCTCACAATAGACCCCAGGAAGCCAAATAGCAGAACCGACTAAAAACAGGTTTTGGGCGCTGAACCATGACGAGTGGACGAGCGCTTCGGGCGGCTGAGAGACTGGAATCCAATGGTAAACCAAACACTTGCAGGATCTAACACGCATACCAAACAAGGTTGTCCTTTGTTGAGACTGCCTTCACCGGGATTTCACTTATGCAAGTGTAGGTTTGCTTTTGGAGGTATGCGCAACTAGTCCCGAAATGGGGGGTTAATGCACCCTGTGGATGAAGAGTGGGAAACCCCCCCCCCCCCCCCCGCCCAGAAAAAACAATACAACAAACGAATCCCGTCTTGAATGAGACACAGACCAGGTGAACGTGAACCAGTTCAAAAAAGCCTGGTTCCCATAGGCCCCCTCGACCACACGGGTGCTCTAAAGACCCGAGAGGTTTGGCCAAGCTCCACTTCCAGTTCTGCACTCGCTTGGTCTTGTCATTTGAGGTTCGGAACTCTGGTCTTCCTCTTCGGGATTCTTGTCGAGGGAACTCGGCTGGCTGGGCCTGCACGCCTTCCCTATGTGTGTATATATATGTATATGTATTTTATTATTGTGTCATATGATTCTGATATTTGCGAAAGGGTTTGAAACAGTATTTCGGGAGAGAATAAACAGGCCCAATCCCACCAACAAGAAGAGATTGTTTAAGTCCCCCAGTCCCAAGGGCAAAGCGGTGCCCCCGGCTGGCACAACAAGCGAACCAAAACAGGGTGCCTTTAACCAAAAGATGAATGAACCCAGCAAGGGCAGAGACAACCGAAAGCAAGCACAAAGCAGCAAACCAGGCAGGCAAACAATGCAGCGAAGCAAGCAAAGCAAACCAATGCAACCACCACCCCCAGCCTGTGACCTGCTCCAACCCGGAGCCACCCGCAGCGCTACCAGCCCCAACCTTTTCCAGGGTGGAGATAGTGCACCGCGCCGTATGGCGCGAGTCGACGAGACAGCACAAAAGGGAACGCCGTGGTTAAAAGCTTGAGCCAAACGGCGCATTGGCCGTGGCATGGAACATGCTATGATAAAACTACATGCCCCCAAAAACACCCCCCTCGCCTGTACAAAGAGATGGAGTGAATTTGGAAAGGCGCATTGGCCACTTTGAAGTTGAAGAGCAACAAACAAGAAAGAAAGAAGATTAGGCTACCAGGGTTCGCAACCCCACGCCCGGGTTCGCTTTAGAGCCTGAATCCCGCCACCACCCCGAATTACGGGCATGGGGCGGATTCGCGCCGGTAGCCAAATCGAACCGGAGAGAACAAAACACGAAAAAGAACAAAGGTTCAACTCCAATATGGCAGGCATGAACTAAATTGATATTGCAATGCAACCACAGTGAATCATGAGATTCAAGTGGATATAATTTCTGAATTTAGGATTTAGGCGCATTGGCCTGCCGATTGAAACATGGCGCTTCGACCACAAGACCTGGGTCTTTAAAAATAGCACCGTCTAGGCGCGCGATCACGCGAAGATGGCCGGCATGAGTAACACCGGCAGCAATCAGCGGTTCAGGTCCGAGTAGGACCCCGCCGGCAGCGGTGCAGCGCAATCGCGATCATCACGTCAGCACCTCAATGAGCTCCTTCACCAGCTGCATCAGCGGTTCGAGAGGGTGCGAATCGCCAGCGGCCAAAGACGCCGGCGAGAATGACTGCCTTGCGATAACAGGGCGTACCTGGCAGGACAATGTGACCGGCGCGATTAGCGCACAGCCACACTTGCATGTGAATTATGAGTCGGTGAATAACCGATATGGCGGATCGACGTTAGGAGCATTGTCCTATATTCGTCATCATGCAATGATTGAATTTATGATGAGACCATAGAAAAGTGCGAGTGCGCATTGGCACTTTTGGGCACGACTCAGCGCGTGCAGAACCTGAAAAGGCATCATTTGCCCCTGCCGCCGCCGCGTCGTCCCTTTCCCTTCCCATCATTCCAATCCCCGGGTGGGGGATGAGAAGGCTCGGTTCCAGCCAACTCGTCATCATCACCCCAAGTTGGGGTGTGAGGTGAATTAGGTTTCATGTATGCGCCGGGATTTTCCGGCGGAAACTGCGACCATCCTTGCGGCATTGCGCCAGGCCACATATGCGGCATCATGCCAGCCATGGGCTGCTGCATGAAGCCCCCCATTGGGAACGTGGGGTACATGGGACTCGGATATGGAAAAGGAGCGGCTTGTGCGCCCTTGTATCCCGAGCCGCGCGCGTCGGGCTGGTAGCCGCCCGTCGGCGTTCTCGACCGGGCGGACCCGCCACGGCCGTACTGGCTGGCCGTATAGGCCGCCTTTGCCCTTTTGCTGGTCACCTTTGTGACCCTTCAATTGGTCACCCTTGTGACCTTTACTTGCATTCAGGTCCCCTTTGGGACCCTCACCTTTGGGCCAGGAGCCCGCAGGGGCATTGCCCTTCCGAGTGTCCCCCTTTCCTTTCTGATCCGGTCGCATCGAAGCGGAGCGATGATCACCCCGAGGTGTCGCCGCCCGCCTGTGATGCTTCCCAGATGGAGGATCCGCAAACGTGATGGCGCTTTGGCCATCGCGTTGCCCAGCGGGAACCATGTCGACCTTGTTCTGGTCGGTGTAGATGTATGCTTCAGCATACTCAATTGGGACCGTTATCGTCCCACCACCGCCCCTCAGGGAGTCAATGCTCAACCTGAGGGTCTCGGTGATGTCAAAATCAGTGTCTTCGCTGGTGAAGTCCGCGAGGCGTCGCTCGGCTTGGACCACCGACATGATCACATCATCCCGAGAGGCGCCTAGGCCGTACAGCGGGACGAGGAAACCGTCCTCAACACCAATGCGGTATGCATCGTAAATATATACAGAAAGATAAAAGGCAAATGCTGATTGTAGACTGCCTTTCCTTGTCATGTGGCGTCCCCACTGTGCCGCGTGTTGCGGGTGGTCGATCAAATACGCCAGCACTGTCAAACCATCAGGAACTGGGTTTCCAGTTTCGCTCTCCTCGATGAGCAGTTGCTTTGCCACCCATTTTTCGAGCGCCTCATTACTCGCTCTCACACATGAGTGAGTGTCCATGTTGGTGACTTTCTCAACCTCATGGAATGCAACCTGTACGATATCCGCATTGGGATTCGGTACGAGGTATGGCGCACAGCGCAGGCCAGAGATCATGCAACTGACCACCTCACGGATCGGGTTTACCGAAGCCATCAGAGGTGCCCAGCCGCACGTTTCCGCGTAGTACCAGCTGTTGGGCATGACTGCTTTGAGTCCGTCCAACCACTTTGGCTGTCCACGCCTGATCTGGGACTGAGAGGTTCCGGGCACCCACTCCCGGTAGAAAATGGGCAAATGGCAACCATTGCATAGAATGGTGCCGTACAGGTTCAAATGTGCACAACGAGGGCACCAATAGTCATGCATGGGAGCATTGTCCCATGCGAATGACACCCCTCGCGGCGGACCCGGGACAACCAATGCCCGGATCGCCCACGGTCGGATGTATATTACATCCCCTTCCTGGTGCAAGTAACATGCACGCCAGAAAGGTGCGTGAATCTCCTCACGCACGGCAATGAAACCGCGTCGGGTTTTGTATATGCCCGCGGCGCCCTCAATTGCCAACCATTTCAGGTCGATCGCCACGACAACATGGCGCTTGTCCATGTATGCGGCACGTTCATCGACGTAAAACTCGCCCTCATTGTTGGGGCTTGGCAGCTTCAGGAACGGCACCTTTGCGCCTTCCATGCCGATCTGAGTCTCCCCCCTGCAGATCTTGTCAGGTCGCATAGGGAAGACTTGAATGGCGAATTTGCCGGGACGTCGGATGCACCCCGTTTTGAGGGCAGATCTATACTCATGCATGGAAAGCAGCACATATCCCGTATAAGGGACCTCTGCTGCATCCATTGGCCTCAGCAAGGGCCCGATCGGAGTACGATCGCGCAATGCCCAGCGCTTGAAAACCTTATATGGCACGTCCGGTGGAGCGCGCAAAGATCACTTCGCTTGTGACCTCTGTTGGGTCGTCTTTTCCCCAGACTCTCCGTATTAGGAGCTCCACCGGGGGGTAGGCGGGGTGCTCCCGTGCGAGAGCACCCGCCCATTTTGCTACGTCAAGGCCTGTGCACTTGACGATCCCGTGTAGGGCCTCGAAAAGCATGGAGATCAGGGGCATTGACATCCAACCTCCAAGTATGTCGGGAACCGTCCCGCATAAGCGAAAAGACGGATCACCAGGCCTGACACTTACCATCTTTGGGTCCGTGGAGCCTGACAAAACCTCGAGAAGCATATACGCCTCTCTGGAGCATCGTCCGGTGACCGTTGCCGGGTCGGCGATCTCGGGGAAAAACCCGAAAATACCATCCCCAGCAGGACAGGCGATTCTGCCAAACGTCCTGCTCGAGGGGTCCAGCAGGACCTCCTCACCTTCATAAGTAAAATTGTAGGTGCTCGCAATCGGACACACGGCAGGTTTTACCATTGCCGCATCCTCAAGCGATGCACCAACCGGGAGAAGACCGGACTCATGCGCTTTGGCATCACTCGGAGCAGTCCCCTCAGACATTCGCCGATAGTTTTCGGCACGGAAGAGAGGAAACAAGTGTTTCATCCTATCAATTTCTTCTTCCGTCGTACGCCAGGCCTTCGCCTCGTAGTACGGCGGCTCCTGCTTTGAGGGAATCAGATCTCTGTTCTCCATTTCGGAGAACTTGGCAACAAATGGCCCAATGCCATCGTCCTCGACGTGACTTTCGAAGTCTTCGTCCGAGATGTATTCTCTGGGCGGCTCGCCCAGTTCGTTTAGGTCGACCTCGTCAAGGTCAACCAGAGCCGGGGAGTCCAGGATTTTCTGGATCCCCATGAGTTCATTTCTGAATTGCTCATAATCCCGCGGT